AAATTAATATTTGCCACAAAATTCAATAACAATGAATCGATTTACACATAATATAATTGGTTTATTACTAATATTACAAATTGGTGTTAGTTTGGCCACAATTAACTACGGGTGTAACGCAAAGTTTGGCGAAAATGATATTGAATGTAACAGCGCCTGTAAGGATCATGGGGTACGGTATGCATTGTCTCATTAATATACTTTATTATTACCAATTCGTCATTAAATTTATTTTTATAATTTAACTCATTATTTTAATGTTCATTTGCTAAATAACTTAAAAATGAAAACAAAATGATTAAGTTTGAGATTATAACGGTGTAATTAAAATATCTGTAATATATCTGAATTATTATTTGTATGACTGAACCTATTGTGACAACCAGTACCAGATCGGTCACTGCGATATTTACATGAGAAGGTGCACCTGTTTCGGGTATTACCTGCCCTATCACCTGCTCACCCACACAGACATGAGAGATCACAAGGAAATGGATACTACGGACCAATTGATTAATGAGGCCCAGGAGGAGGTGCCTGAGAAAGTGGCCGATGATAAAGAATCCCATGAATCTAATGATTAATGAATCAACCAGTTTCATTTATTTATTTTAGTATGCTCGTGTAAACTGCAATCAATTCAATTGAATTGACTATTTATTTATTAGCTATCCTATTATTTATTAAGTTATATTTTTAAAATCCTGTTTAATGTCAAAAATTAATAATATTTTTATGAAATAAATTGCAAACAGATTGTTTTGACTTCAATTCAATTTTATAAGTTTTTAATTTACACACAAATTACATGAAATACAATGAGACACGAATGTTACAAGAATTTTGACGAGAATTTTATTTGACACATAATTTTTGAAAAATTACTTAAATTATAAAAATTGAAACACAAATCGGACGGAGAGATCATACAATCTGGACGAGTGGCACAAGTGTTAACTCAGTTCTTAACTAATAATTTAGCGATAATTTTGTTTTAATACACGTATAGATAAAGTTAAATTAATTTACATTAATTAAAATTGGTTTAAAAAAGTTTGGGTGGATTCTGGGGCTTAACTACACGTTTAGTATCCTTTGCCATAACCGCCATAACCATAGCCGCCATCGACAAGGACGGCACCGCCGTATCCCTTGCCATAACCGCCACCATAACCGCCATCATAACCACCATAACCATAACCGCCATAACCACCATCATAGCCACCATCATAAGACTTCACGTAGGCGACTGGGGCGGCAATAACCTTGGTAACAACGGGTGCGGCGACCACTTTAGTCACAACCGGTGAGATGGTCTTCTGGACGGTGGTGTAGGCATAGCCTCCGTAACCTTTGCCGTAACCTCCATATCCTCCATCGTAACCACCATAACCTCCATAACCACTTCCATAACCACCATAACCGCCGTATTTGCCGAGACCGTAGCCGCCNAGTCAAAACAATCTGTTTGCAATTTATTTCATAAAAATATTATTAATTTTTGACATTAAACAGGATTTTAAAAATATAACTTAATAAATAATAGGATAGCTAATAAATAAATAGTCAATTCAATTGAATTGATTGCAGTTTACACGAGCATACTAAAATAAATAAATGAAACTGGTTGATTCATTAATCATTAGATTCATGGGATTCTTTATCATCGGCCACTTTCTCAGGCACCTCCTCCTGGGCCTCATTAATCAATTGGTCCGTAGTATCCATTTCCTTGTGATCTCTCATGTCTGTGTGGGTGAGCAGGTGATAGGGCAGGTAATACCCGAAACAGGTGCACCTTCTCATGTAAATATCGCAGTGACCGATCTGGTACTGGTTGTCACAATAGGTTCAGTCATACAAATAATAATTCAGATATATTACAGATATTTTAATTACACCGTTATAATCTCAAACTTAATCATTTTGTTTTCATTTTTAAGTTATTTAGCAAATGAACATTAAAATAATGAGTTAAATTATAAAAATAAATTTAATGACGAATTGGTAATAATAAAGTATATTAATGAGACAATGCATACCGTACCCCATGATCCTTACAGGCGCTGTTACATTCAATATCATTTTCGCCAAACTTTGCGTTACACCCGTAGTTAATTGTGGCCAAACTAACACCAATTTGTAATATTAGTAATAAACCAATTATATTATGTGTAAATCGATTCATTGTTATTGAATTTTGTGGCAAATATTAATTTCAAAAATTATATGAATTTTTGTGTTAATTTTATTAGTGACTATATTTGAAAACTATGTCAACTAATGGTTTATGAGATTTATTCAAAAAAAGTAAGTTGATTTAAAACACTTGTAGATCTAATTTTTAATTTAATGTCAATAATTGTATTATATTTCACAAAATATTTTTAAATAAATAAATTCTAGTTTAAGCATGTTTTAGTTTTGAATTAATTCAATTATGAACAAAGCTCTATTATTAGAGTTGTTAATATTTTAAAAAGTTATCTCACTTTACTTATAATATTTAATTTAAATATTTAGAATATTAATTAGAAATTCCTATAATTATATGAATGGATTAAATAGATAATTGGAATTAAAAATAAAGAATTTATTATTTTAAGGAAAATTCTTTACAAATGAGATAATGGTCTATCAATTATTGACAAAACGCCTATTAATTCCCATTAACCATTAAACAACATTAATTCAAATTATTACCAAAACACTGCAATTTATAAATTGATAAAAATAAATTAAAATAATAATAACATTATTAAATAAAATCAATCACTTTGCATGACATTTGAAGTATAAAACATTTTCAAAGTTAAGAATGCATTGTTAATTAAGTAACAAATTTTAATATTTAATATTAAATCTCTACAAATAAACAGTGAATAATATAATACAATAGGAAGACAAAACTAAAAATTACTAATCCTTTTAAATGAAATAAATGTCTTTCTTCGCGAACACATAATATGAATAAATTAGTGAAACAAGAAATAATATTTAAGCTTTTGGTTGTGAAAACATCTAAACCTCCTATTTTCACTGAACATATAATCAATAAAATAAAATATAATTAAAACCCAGAGTAGAAGACAATGAATGCAAAGGAATAATGGATTTTCTGTACGAGAGAGAGAGAATGTTTTCCGAAAATCCAAGGATTAAACTCTTATTTTATATTTTTCTTATTATCCAAACCATTGACGCAATGATAACCGCAAAAGTATAAAAGTGGAGAAAAATTCTTAATATTCTTTACAATAAGTATTAATTAAATTTTTGTACTTTTGTTCCGTTTGTCGCAAACAACAAATTTTTGACTTCAATCATGAATACTTTGGTAATTTAATTAATACTTTATTTAACATTATAAGTGGTTTATAAATTTAATTTTCTACTTTTAGTTTTAATTAAAACAATTATTTATAACTTATTTTTTAATGTAAACTACTTATTAAAACATTTTATGTTTGATCTAATTTCGCTAAAAAGTTAATCAAACATAAAAACTGCTACATTTTTGTCTGTTTTTTAATCACTATTGGTTTGAATCCAAAAACAATTATAAAAAACATATTTTATATAACTTTTGCCTACAATTAGATCGCTTTGTCCGCACTCTTTGCTGTCGCCACCGCCACATACGGTGGTTATGGATACGGAGGCTATGGAGGCTATGGTGGTTATGGTGGTAAGGGCTATGGGGGATACGCCCTGATTGGCGGCTACGGTCTCGGCAAATACGGCGGTTATGGTGGTTATGGAAGTGGTTATGGAGGTTATGGTGGTTACGATGGAGGATATGGAGGTTACGGCAAAGGTTACGGAGGCTATGCCTACACCACCGTCCAGAAGACCATCTCACCGGTTGTGACTAAAGTGGTCGCCGCACCCGTTGTTACCAAGGTTATTGCCGCCCCAGTCGCCTATGTGAAGTCTTATGATGGTGGCTATGATGGTGGTTATGGCGGTTATGGTTATGGTGGTTATGATGGCGGTTATGGTGGCGGTTATGGCAAGGGATACGGCGGTGCCGTCCTTGTCGATGGCGGCTATGGTTATGGCGGTTATGGCAAAGGATACTAAACGTGTAGTTAAGCCCCAGAATCCACCCAAACTTTTTTAAACCAATTTTAATTAATGTAAATTAATTTAACTTTATCTAT